AGCTTCATCAATTTGAAGCCGTTCCACGTGAATAGAAATATATCGTTCTGAACCCATCAGACGCACAATTCTATTTTCAGTTCTAGTTACATTTACAAAATCACGATAATTAAAGAATTTACCGTAATAAGTCTGATAAATGAATCGAAAAAGTAAATTAAAATGAAATGGCCCGGAACAATAAAACGCACGACATCAAGGCAACTGTTGAGTACAGCGGCCCAAAGACGTTTTCATGAACAGACCCTTTTTCCAATTAGTGCGGAGAATTTTCACATTTAATGTTCCGCTACTCTCCATTTATATATTAATTGAAAGCGGCAACTATTGTTGGCGCTAAAGGCAGTTCCCTTTACTCCAAAGGATTCGGAAACTCTTTAAATATTGGACCAATTAGAATTTTAATCAGTTGCCCTGATTCCAGTAGCAAACAATTCTGCGTCTAATGGCATTACTATTTATGGATAAATCGACAGAAAGCAAACGATTTTTAGCGGCCCTTTTTCGCCACTTTTATTTTCGTAAATCTGAGGTAAGAGCAGTTGTTAAAGATAAATGTTACACCAGTTTTCAATGTTCACGATGTTTTTCGTTACCATAATTTCCCGATTATCGTTTCAGTATTTCAAATTTCCTTTCATCATTTTTATTCAACACAACGTAAAAATAGACCTACCTTGAATTTTCGAAAAATTAGCAGCAGCAGTTGAAGAGCATCCCCTTGAGGCCATTTCTGCCTGCATTAGAACTTTTTTAGCCCAGTTTTCCAAAAAGCTCCAATATTAGTACAGATGACCAAATCGGCAAAGGGTGGTTCGTTTTATTTCACATTATAAACCAAAGATCAGGGGTTTTTTTTCTTTTATTTAACTGTTTCGGTCACAAATTTTCTTGAAAAGTGGATTGCCTTAATTTTCTCTACACAAGTCAATCAACATATACGATTAACGCAAATGGCCCCTACTTCGGCAAATTCGCTTTCTTTATTTTTTGACGAATTTTTTTTATAGGTATAAAATCGAAAATTGAAAGTCCAAATTTTCGGGTTACACTATGCTTGCTTAAAATTTTACAGTTAATGAAACATCCTAATTTTTTCAGAATTACTGCATAATTCTTTCTTCCTTCTACACAACTAATAATCACTTGCTTACCTAAAACACAAGCAAAGTTGTCCTGTAAGAAGACGTTTTTGGCATTTTTGCTAACGTAGCCCCTAAGCAAACAGATCTTTTTTTTAAAAGAAGTGGAACCTCTTCATGAATGATGACTGTTATCAGCTAAATGTATTGAAGCTAAGCTACAATTATTTGTATCAAAAGTTGTGTGCACTGTTAATTTTGAAGCGCAAAACAATCGAGCAAGTAGCTGAAAATTCAACATTTTCGATAGCAAATTGACTCGTTTTCCTTTGAATTCGAATTTGAAGTCGTTCCGTGTCAATGCAATAGAAATCGTTCCTTAACCCGTCAGACACAGCTCTATTTTCAGTTCTAGTTATATTTACAAAATCATGATAATCAAAGAATTGACAGGTGTAATAAAGTAATTTTGAGTCTCAAAAATGAATCGAAAAAGTAAAACATAGCGAAATGGCCCGGAACAATAAAATGTACGATAACAAGGCAACTGTTGGGTATAGCGGCCCAGAAACGTTTTCAGAAGCAGACAGTTTTTCCAATTAATTAGTGCGGAGAATTTTCACATTTGATTTTCCGATACTCTCCATTTACACATTAATTGAAAGTGGTAAATATTGTTGGTGCTAAAGACAGCTGTTCCCTTCACTCCAAAGGATTCGCCAACTCTTAAAATATTGGACCAATATAATTAGAATTTGATTCAGTTGCCCTGATTCCACTAGAAAATAATTTTGCGTCCAATGAATGGCATTCTATGGCTAAATCGACAGAAAGCAAACGATTTTTAGCGGCCATCTATCGCCACTTTTATTTTCATAAATGTGAGGTAAGACCAGTTTTAAACGATAAATATTACTCCAGTTTTCCATGTTCAAGATTTCTTCGTTACCATAATATCCTGATTAATGATGGCAGTAATCTTCTTGCATTTATAGGATTTAAGAGCGAATGTAGCCAAAAATCGAACATTTTCGATATAAAGTGGGAACAACCGAAATATCGATTGCGCTCATATTCTCAGCCTTAGTAGACCTTGATGTGAAGCAAATCACAGCATACTTCGTTTCGCTGAATATCGATTTACTTTCGAGGTAATCGATAATGGCCGCTTTTAGAGCTCAAAATTTCAGACGAATTTCGAAGCTTCGCGGAACAAAATTAAGCAATCTAGAGCAATAAAAACTACCAAATCTCTCAGAACAACTTCAAACACATGTTAACAGCAATGTGAGCACTTTCTGTCCATATATTTACAAATCATAGTTACATATACCCGACCTACGTTTAACTAGATTGAATATAGGGTAAAAGAAACCCGTTATAAGTATGAGCAGCAACACAAAAAAGAAATTCGTCGAGAACCCGTGTTTTAGAAGGCAAAGGCTAGTTCTTTTGGATCTCTCAACTATTTGGGGGGAAATGTATCCAAAGCGATGTAATTGAGTTTCAAAGGTGGATAAAATGCGCTGATTTAACGGCTCCCAAAAAGTCACCTGAATTAGCATAATTGAAGCTTGGCCAAAAATATTTAATTCTTTCGCAGTTTGCGTTCAATAGTAAATCAATGTAACTTAGAACCTCTAACTTTTTTGTTTGGTGTCAAAGAAGAGGGCTGTAGTCCCGACGTTATTGCTTGCTTTGGGGCGATCCTTCAAGATTACTTGGCCGTAATTTCGCAACGCATCATATTAGTTTAACGCACCCCAGACGGTTTTAATTTTTAATGATCTTCTGTTCCAAATTAGTTAAACATCAGTTCTGGACTACTGTTAAACCGCAAATGCGAGCGACAAGTCTTTCCTTTATAGACAGATACCTCTTTGCTTGAGTAAATATCGCTAATTAATTCACAATAAGTTCAAGTGAAATCGACAACTACCGCGAGAGTTAAGTACATTATGTATGGCCTATTTTGATTGTGTCGAGGGTAACTTTAGGTTTTAAAAAACACTGTGAAAATATTTATCCAAAAATATGAGAATGTTAAAGGTCCCTGATCGACAGAGTCGGAAGACTCAGTTTGTGATTATTTTTGATGGTGGAAAGCGCAGGGCCGTTGTGCATGTGTGACAAATAGCGGTTACACCCGGACCGAAAATCTAGCATTTCTTTCAACAGTTTAGCTGTTAGTAGCATTATTATTATTTCTTGCTAACTCTACAGAAAGCAAACGACTTTTTAGCGACCCTTAATCGCCCCTTTTATTTTATGTAAATCTGAGGTAAGAGAAGTTTTAAACGATTAATATTATTTTAGTTTTCTGTGTTCAAGGTTTCCCGAATTGCATGAGGAACGTTCCCAGTCAAACGATCAGAGTGGGTCAACATTAGTATCACTTGATAACGGGTCAGCTCAGTAAATTGCCGAAAGGTTAGGCGAAATATTAAGACGGAAAGTGTAAGTTACGCTTTGCAACCTAGTCGTGTACGTTTTGTCAAATTTATGAAGATCTCTTTCAGATTATTCGTACTCACTTCGAAAATTAATTGTAGGAAATAAACCTAAACAAAGTCTTTTCTATGGCTTAGCTACATAATCACATACTGAGGTTTTGTCCGGAAATTTCAAAGTTAAAATGTACCATTCTAGTAAAAGTTTGTTTTCGAACGTTTTCTTCAGCTCTTTGCCCCTTTTATTAATTGTTACGTTAATTATGGTTTTATGTCGAACTACAAAGTATTAAGAGTGAAATTTATTACCTAACGTTAATCAGAAAATTGGCAGGTGTTTAGAATGAAAATAATTCTTAAATGAATTAAATAAATCAAAACCGTAAATCATCAAGAATAGCGCACAAAGTTTTGTGCGTAACGCTGTTAACTGTTATCGTAGAATTTCGGTAATGCTCCCCTTGAAATACTTGCAATCTGCAACCAATCTAGATTGCATTCAAAAAGAAAACGAACAGTATTTCCAATTTCCCTTTATGATTTTCATTCAACACAAATTTAATAAAAAAAAAACAGACCTACCTTGAATTCTCGAAAAATTAAGGTGGCTCAGAACCCTCCCCACAGAATTTTTTTAAACTTTGTAACAAGTTGCATCTTATCTTGGTTATCACTATTCGATAATACAAAAGGGGGGTCACCAAGCTCGTTTTTGAGTTATAAGCGCTCAAAGGTAACATTAAGGGTGTTTTTAGCAGGTCATACTGTTGCTATGGTAACCTACTGTGACACGAAATTGACACCAACACGTTCACCAATGATTGGGCAGTTTTTTGATACCATGATTTTAGCATCAACCTAGATAGAGTGGTTATAATGAACCATTAACACTGTTTTGAGCCACCTTAATACCGAAGACTTTGCAGTTATTTTAACGGCCATAGTCCTACTTCGAAGAGAGTCCAACTTCGAAGCAATACTGCACATTTTGTTTTCTGAGGTCCCAAACGCTGCATTAAATCCGCGATTTCTATTCAAAACACAGCTGAAAGAGTATAGCTCGTCGTGTCGGCGGTTATCGAAGGAGAGAAAAAATTTCCAGGTTCTTTACCAGCAAGGTTATTAAGGCTCTCAATCCCATGATTTTGCTTTTCGGTGCCTCTTTAATGTTGTTCAATGTTTCTTCTTTCCATTTTGAACATTGGCTTACATGTTTTGGCCGGACGGAAGCCCTCTGTCAACCTCCGTACGTTCGCTGACTTCATAACAAAAATGTTTGGCATTGATTTTCTACCCATGGTGCTCCGCTATAAAGTCGTAAATATTTAGAGCAATGCAATTTACTAGGTTTGTAGAACTAAAGATGAGACAGGAAACGTATTTTAAACTGTGATTATGTGCGTTTTGATCTTAGATCCTGTTTTGACAACCGGATTGAAGGACCAGAAGGGCTTCATATAAAGACAACATGCAACCAAACAACACCGAAGCAACCATCAAGTTTTCCAGTTCAGCATTCTATTGCCGATACGAATCAGGCGAATTACGAGACTCTCAGAATACCACCTCTGTTTACTTGATTGTAGCCGTTCTGACATTTATTCCTTTACTTCCTACCATTCTTATGAACGCGATGGTTATCCTAGCTATAAAGCAAAAGAGAGAACTACAAAGACCCTCTAACATTCTGTTGTCAAGCTTGGCTGTTACAGATCTTCTAATTGGCATTACGGTAATGCCTTTATTTGTCATTGTTAATTTTTTAATATTCCAGCAAGATTGGTCTGAACTTACATGCATGTTATTCTTGGTGAATCCATGCTTAATGCAACTGCTCTTCTTGGCTACCTTATTTCACTTGACAATTATTGCTTGGGAGAGGTACGTGGCGATACAGAGGTGGATGGACTACAAGATTCTCATCACAAATAGCCGCCTCAAGAAACTGGTGATAGCTGCCTGGATCTCAGCGCTTTTTCCTGCGGTTCCAAACCTAATAGTCAGAGTAGCTGATGGAAATGGTGCAATTATAGGAGCCTTTTTCGTGGTGTGGACTGCTGAGGCAGCAGCTTGCTTAATACTTATTGCATATTTCTATCGAAAGGTGTACTTTGGAATACGCGAACATAAAGTAAACGAAATCCAGCAAGTTGATGTTCTCACGAAGGTTAAGCTTGAATCCAAAGTTGCCAAGACAACTGGCTTGCTGACCGCTGCACTGATATTCTGCTTTATCCCAGTAGTTGTTTTTACCATCTTACATATACGATATGTTTTCCCAGCCACTCGCGCAAATGTTGGTCTCCGGATTACAACTCTGGTGACGCAGTGGAATTCATTGTTTAATCCACTGCTTTATTGTTATAGAGATCGCCGTTTCAGGAATGCCATTGGCGAACTTTTACGATTGAAAAAGCCTGCAGCAATCCAGTCAGCAGTCGGTGCTGCTCAATATGTCAGACGAAAGGAGCCTTTAGGATCGTCAGAGCACCACAACCCGAAAGAACGTAAACAACGCTTGACAAGATCAGCATCTTGCAATTCATTAGTTGCTTTAGATTCTAGTCTTGGGGCATCGACCGAAGTTATGTTGAAGAGATCTTTGTCTATCGCCGCGCTTGATAAATGCAGCAACACCTTTGACGGTCTAGAGCTGGGGAAAACTTCATCCATCGTGGTAACGAATGCAACAACACACGCCGAAATAGGCGTGCAAAGTAAAGCGAGGGAAAACAATCTTGAATGTACCAGAGATGTGAGCAAACATCAAGCTTAATCGCACCGTATCCGGATTAAGCCAAGATAGAAATCGTGGGATTCCATTAACTCCGTGAAAGTAACCAATCACAGTTATGGCATGATTCGAAGACTGAAACCGGCAAATACAAACTTCAAGGCGTCAGATAAATTAATCGACTTCCCTGCAAGCTATAACTGAGAAAAAACTTTGTTCAAAGAGAAACGTGGAGACTGATCTTAAGCTTTATAGAGGCAATTCAGAAACTTAAAATAAGAGAAGTCTTGCCACCAATATTCTTGACCAATCTTCTCTTTCAGCCTGTCTATACCGTCTGCGCAGAATAAAAAGAGTTCGAAAGCACCCAATAATTGATCATTCAGGTGCTTGGACTAAAAGTTGCTCACCAAAATCTATTGTGCTAGTTGCGTATATTTTGTCCGAATTAGAATTTAAAAGTAGACACAAATGTTAGTTGATCAATTGAACAAAAGTAGATGTGAAATTAAGAACGTTTTGGCAGAAAGGTTTGAGTTTTTTTACCATCAAAAGTTCAAAATTGTGTATGCTTCAGTTTGCTCCAACAACTAATGTTGATGTTGAGTTATTTTGACAGACTACCAAGCACAGGAAAGGATTAACTAGTATCAGCCACCTTAAAGGAAAGTGCCTGCACGATATTACGTATAACGGTTTACAACTATGGTATTAATTTATTAATTAATTAATTAATTAATTAACTAATTAATTAGTGTCTTAGTTTTATCTGAAAGTAACGTGGTAATACTTTCATGTGAAATTTCGTTGCTTCGTGTTTTCATGGCAACGATACTAAAATTATAATGCGAGTTATCATAACAGAGAGAATAGCGAAAAACTCTCTTCGCGTCAAAAGAGGCGCATTTAAGACAAACTTTGGTCTTATTTGAAGCAATTTCATCAAAATGGTGTTCACCAATCGCACCATGTACTATTATTTCAAAATATTCCTTAAGAGTTGTTTTCGCCCGTTCCCGTGATTTATTTGCAAATCAAACATTCAAAACTACTTTATTTGACTGATATTCCATTGGCCCTACACCAAAATTTAAGATAACGGTATTAATATGCTTACAGCAAATTTGGCTAGTGCAAAATTCAAGTTACTGATTTCCAGATTTTCTTTTATTTTTATCGTTTGCAAGCCCTTCAATATATTACACCAAACTTCTACCTATTTTCACTTAACGATGTTATTTTAACTTCGATAAGAGAAGACTGTTAACTACTAGCTCTGATTGAAACTGTTATGTATGGTCCGGAAAAACACTCTATTAAAATTTTAGGTAGTCCTACACTGAGCTTGAAGTGTGAATAAACTTGTAACAGCGTAGAGTTATCTTGCGTCAATAATTTAGACAGCGCCACGAAACTTTGGAAAAGTGTAATCGCTAGTACGTATACAATATCTATACAGCACGTGCATGTACCAATTTTTATCACTTTTCCAAAGTTCCGTTGCTCTTAAACATTAGCCACCCACCCCAATTTCGCATCAAAAACGAGTTTGTCTTAAACTCTTGCAACTGAAAGACTTCATAAAGGTAAGAATAAAAACAGGTTTGGTTTGATTCGAAATGATTTTCCTGTCGCGTTAGGGGCCATCAAATATTTGTCCTCATCAGGGCCCGCATAAAATTGGCAAAATCAGTTGTTTATCAACAGTTCACAAACTTATGGTCATCATACCAGAAATCAGAAATAGCGAGAGCCTCCATCTACCCAAACGCAGGACTTTCATTTGTGTTCCGCGGAACCACTGTATGGAACTCTCTTTCAAAGGAATTAAACAACTGTCCCTCTGTAGCTTCCTTCAAAAGGAATTTGAAATCCGTTCCACTGAGCAACTGCGTCGTCTTATCAACAATTGTGGTGTATTTAATATTTTTCATTTAAACCAATAAGTTATTGATCCCGCGTCGTTTTTTTTTTTCGTAACTGTAGTGACATTTATTAGCAATTTTCATTAAACCAATTATTGTAATTATTGTAATTTAACGTCAATATTTCTGTAAATTAGGCATGAAGATCCTCTCGGGGAACCTAATAAATCTTGTTGTATCGTCATAGATTACTAGCATAGCAACGATACAACCTGTAAAACAACACTTGTTATTTTAGCTTTAACGTTAATGCTAACCTTTGGGGGTGCCTTCCGGGAAATCTTTGGAAAGCGCTTTATTTTTGGTAAAACTCCGACAAACTATGTATCACCGAAAAGGTAATAAAATGAAGAATCCGAATATAGTAACATTTTAAATTATTATGGTTTTCTTAAGCGGGCGCGAAGCTTCAAACTCAAAACTGTAGATGTTCACTTCGCTGAATTACCTGCCTTTGCATTATCACCTACAACTCAAAATTCAACAACGGCTCTCTGAAGCTCATTTTTTTATTACTGAAAGTTACGTACCAACGTATGGAGAAAAACGGACAATTGTTTTTTTTATTATTATTATTTTCCAAACACTTGTTTGCAGGATACTATTGTGTCAAATTAATGAAGTAAACCTCTCAAACTCATTAATAATTCATCAAGTTTAAAGAGAGGAAATCGTGACCGTGACGGTGTTGGATATGTGATCTTAATTAGTATAGATTTTTACGATTTTAATTCCCCGTTTTCTCCTTAGTTTTAGTTTCGATTGAGAAGATACATCAAACACTCAAGACAGTGTTTGACCACATTTCCAAACACCTCGAAGTTCGTCAAAATACTCCGCTATGCGTCGTATTTTCAACTCTCTTCTCGTGGTCAAACACTGTCTTTCGTGTTTGATATATTACGTGAAACTAAAGAATCAATGTATAATTGATTGTACCCACGGAGACCTTCTAATCAAATGTAAAAAGTCTCATCATGATACTACACTGACATCAAAAGCCGCTGTAAATTTAGACTAGTACAAACAGAACAATTAGTCGACAGAGCGGTTTTCAATATTGAGCGTCGTTAATCTAAAACCAAAGTAATCACTTTAGCCAGTCACAAATGAAACAGGCACTACCGTGAACCAGTCAAAACTCGAAGTTATTACATGTAGCTGACGCGAAGTGAGGGAAAACGCGGATGAACGAGTCACAACTGGTGTTGATTTGCTTTTGATTGGATGAAAAAGTGCTGCGAGATCTTTGAGCCAATCAAGCAAAAGCAATAGACCATTCTCGAGTTGTGTTTTGCCTCTGTGTCAAAAGAAGTCTCCGTGCGAAACCATTCATACGGAAATGTTTTCCACCAACATGCTCATTTTCATGTAAATTCAACTCATTTTCATATGAAAGGTTTTGCTCAAGGACTCGTTTTGAAACAGAGGCACAAGGTAACTCGGAAATGGCCTATTACTTTCGACACTCAAATGAGAATGACACTATCAACCGTAAAAATTCTAATTACTATAGTTCCTAACGAGTGTCCAAGATGTAGCCAGTTAACTCAAATGATAGATGACTCCAGTAACAGACTTTACAGGACCCCTCTGATAACAGTGTTGAATACACTGATTTGCATACACTTAAGAGCCATATTTTTTTCAATTCAGGTGTCGGTCCTGCTCGTGGCAAGAATTTTTGTCATCCAGTTGGAATTTACGCCAAATCAATTGACGTCCAGGTTTGTTGGACTATGAGTATCTACTAAATTTTGAGTCCTGAATTTTTCAAGCAGTCGAGATTTCTCCTTTATGCGAAGGTACATTATTCTAATGAGCAATTTTTCTAAGTTAAAGAAAGTTTTTCCTTTGTTTCATAGATACGCAATCTTTAGGTACCGCAAAGAGTATCTCAAACTCCCAACAGTTTTCTCTTTCTCTCTCTTTGCATAGGCACAAATATGAATCTTCACTTCAGTTTGAAGAAAACTTGATAGGAAATTTGTTGTTGTTGTTGTTATTCGCTCAATTAAATTTATCCCTCTTATTTGTAAGAGGATAGAGGATTTGAATGAACCCTTTGAGAACAGCTCAATTACTGATCCAATATCACCTGGTATAGAGCACCGTTTATACATGGGCGAATGACATATTTCAAAAAATAACCAGCTGTTATAAATATTGCTTATAGAGCAGCGCAATAAAAAAATATCTGAGACATAATTGGATGGAGAAGGCTCAATGATTGACTGGGGATTTTCAGGAATACTACTCAGTAGGCCTACCCCGATTGTGCTCGTAAAGTTTATTATTATTATTATTATTATTATTATTATTATTATTATTACTATTAAAATAGGTTTTAGTTTATTTCTCTTATTTACTTTTATCTCGTAATGTACCAATATTGACGTTGAAACCCAGGAGGGAGCCATTATGTAAACACTGTTTGAAATAGGTTTTAATAGTTTATTTCTTTTACTTACTTTTACCTTGTATATACCAATTTGTATGGAATATGTTAATTAATGTTATGATGATGATAGT